CCTGAGCAACATGGCGAAACCCCCAACTCTATAAAAAAAAAAAAAACAAAAAAATTAACCAGGAGTGGTGGTGCATGCCTGTAGCTACTACAGGCACTTGGTAGGTTGAGGTGTGAGGACTGCTTAAGCCCAGGAGTTCAAAGTGACAGGCAGCTGTGATTGTGGCACTGAACTCCAGCCTGAGCAACAGTGTGAGGCTTTGTCTATAATAAAAATAAATAAATAAATACAAATTGTATTACATATTGGGGGGCAGACCTGGAAAACCCTATAGCTAGTGAGAGAGCAAAAAATAAGTTAAGACGTGTCAGAAATAGTAACAAAAGCCAGTAGGAAAATAGGATTCTCATTGCTAAAAAGCAGACATTCATAAGACACATATCTGCACATTGCTATTTTGCCAATTTAAGTGTGACCTATAAAAATAATGTAAAAGAGTTGGCTATTGACAATCTTTTCCCATAAAATATTTAAAAGTCTTGGTTCCTTATTTTATGAACTTGACTTTTTTTTTTTTTTTTGGAGACAGCGTCTTGCTCTGTCCCCCAGGCTGGAGTGCAGTGGTGCGATCTCGGCTCACTTCAAGCTCCGCCTCCCAGGTTCACGCCATTCTCCTGCCTCAGCCTCCAGAGTAGCTGGGACTACAGGCGCCCGCCACCACTCCCAGCTAATTTTTTGTATTTTTTAGTAGAGATGGGGTTTCACCATGTTAGCCAGGATGGTCTCGATCTCCTGATCTCGTGATCCGCTCGCCTCGGCCTCCCAGAGGGCTGGGATTACAGGCGTGAGACACCGTGCCCAAACCTGACATTTTTAAGGAGGCGAGATGGATTACTCCATTCAACAAATGGGCCGTGAGCTCCAACAAAAGGTTGCTTTGTTTATATTGAATTTCGGAAGTGAAATAGATGCGGGGTCTTGATGCCCCAGTTCCCGGGGCAATGCATATCTGAAGTGTTGGGTTGACAACCTCAGCCGTCGTTAAGAAATAACATCGACCATAAATGCCTTCAGAAAATACAGGCAGAAGAAACACTTCCTAACTCATTTTATGACACTCACTTATGACACTATAATACCCAAATATGACAGATAGTCAGATTGCAGCACTGAACAGATAGTCAGATTTGGGTATTATAGTTTCAAGACAACTAAAATGTATTCCAATGTCTCTGGGCTGTGTTGTTTCCATCTAATATCTACCAGGAGCTTCCGCAACAGGAATGATACATTTTGGTGGAAAAGGACATCTACTCGATACCGTTTTTTTCCTCCCTGGACTGGCGTCATCTGCCCACAGACAACAGCTGTTTCTTTAGCACTTTTGTGAAACCTTCATCTCATCCACTCCAATGTCTTTGATTGGCCATCATGTTCACCAGGTGCACAATAATGTCAAAAAGAGGTGACAGCATGACATTGCCTCTCCTTCTTCTGCCATGCTCAATTCAATGTGTCAGAGGCTCCCGCTGGTTCTTCCCTCCAAAACATCTGGAATCTGAACGCAACTCCTGGTCTCTGCCTTCGCCATCTTGGGTCAAGCTCCCTCATCCTTCTCCTGGTTTGCCGACAGCCCTCTCACTGGACTTCTTGCTTCCCTCATCTATAGACTCCTATGTACAGAAATGAAACTTCAAGGATATTCTTTTTAGCCTTTTAATTTTAAAATCAGACACAGGTACAAAAAAAAAAACACAAAAAAATGTATAGCTTAGTGAGATATCATAAACAAAGTTCTTATCACCAAGACTAAGTTAAAAAAAAAGCACCTAGCTGGAGTCCACTCCACGGCTGCATCCCAATCACAGTCTCTCCCTCCCTCCCTCCAAAAGTAACCCTCATGCTGATTCTCATAGTCAACTACCTCCCTACAATCTGCATGGCTTAATCACCCCCATGTGCCTCCCTAAACAGCACAGTTCATGTTACCCATTTGGTAAATCTTGGTAAGTCTCTTAAATTTCCAGATTTCCCTTCCATGCCTGTCTTTTTCTTAGAACTTCTTTGTCACAGTGCCTGAGCCCTGTGACCTATAGAGATTTTCACAGTCTGGATTTTGGCGATTCCGAATTTATGGTGCAGTCAGCACATTCCTCTCTCTGTCCTGTGTATTTCTTGCAAAATAGCAGCTGGATCCAGCAACTTGTTCAGAATTAAGTGTGATTGTGGAAAAAAAAAAAAAAAGTCTGAACTATAAAGAAGCTATTGGGGAACAGTTGTAAAGTTGTAAAGTTAGACCATGATGTTAAAGCCCACCCACCTAAGACTCCCAGGACCTTCCCTGCAGTCACAGTCAGTTTATTTAGCTTGCTGCAGTCATGGAGATTCCACACCCATGGCCACCTGGGGGCATCTCAGTAAGAGGGAAGGGCAGTGCTTCTAAGAGGACTTAGGCTTCTACTGAACGATTCCAAAAAGGGATTAAGGAGGCAAGGTCAAGAAGTGAGGGCAACTTGGTGATTGCGTATCTTAAATACTTTATCTCCAGCTTGAAGCAGGTTAGAGTTGTCATTGGTAAAGAGGCAGCTGTCACTCATGTTAGAAAAGGGGCATGTTCAGTCATTTCTGTGACTGCAGAGTGGTCTTGTCTCTGCCTACCTCTAAACACAGTCAACTTGTGGCCTTGTCTGAACGGGTTCATATTCTTTGAGCATGGTTCATGTCGACTCAGGAACATCATGGCCTGGAGGGTTGTGTTTCTCAGTTCCCTCCACAGGCTAGAGGCAAACAGGCCTGTTTTTGTTTTGTTTTGTTTTGTTTTGTTTTCCTTACCAATGATCATATTATGGAAGGCCTTGGTTTTCATCCTAAGGAGGTTTGTATCTAACTTGGTAGATGAGACAGAGTTATCAAAGATACTTGGGTGCTGGAGTAATCAAATTAGAATAGTACTTGAGAGATCAGGTATCTGTCAGTCTTTTGGAAGAGAAAGGACAGGAGATAGGATATTAGGGGCAATTATGGTCCAGGCTAGAGAAGGTGCAATATCAATAAAGGTACCAGGCATAGGAAGGAAACAGGCTGACCAATGGAGGAGGCATCTGAGGGAGGGAACAACAGGCTATCCCCTGGATTGGATGCTGGCAGTGGAAGAAGATAAAGTAGGAGGTGCTGATGTTTGCTCACCCAACAGCCATCTTCACCCTACTTGCTAACAGGATTTTTTTCTAGGCAAAATGGAAAAGGATCATAATTGGTCAAAACTAGTCTTGGCTATGCCAGTCACCTTTGCCAGATACTTCCCAGCTCCCTTTGCAGTGAGGACTTCCCTATGACTCATTCTGGCCCACAAGACCTAAGAGGATTACGACAGGGCTCCTGAGAAAAGTTTTCTTTTCTTATACAAAGAACAAATGTAAAGAGGGCGTTCCCTTGAAATGCCCCTATTTCCTTGTTTTGGCTTTGATCCTAAACTGGAAGCATCGAAGTCAAGCCTTGGATTAGCTCCCATTTTCTACTATAGGCAACTGGAATGTGTAATGCCTAGATCTGCACCGCCCCCTCCGAGTCTTTTCCTAAAAACATTGCTATTTCCTTCTTCTTTCTTTTAAGATGGAGGTATTGCTCGTGTCTGAGTGACTTGCTTATGCCAACGAGATTTTCATAGACATGGCACAGGCAGAAGCCTGGAATGTGTTGGCACTGCCAGGCCTGCCCTCTAATGCTCTTGATTTTTCCCACAAGATGAGCGTGCCGCAGGGAACTTCAGCTCTGGCTGCAGGATGAGAGGTGTGTGGAGCACTCAGAGTTCCAACCCTCAGCCTGGAGTCAAGCCTAGACTAGATCAGCCTAAGCCCAGCCAAGCCACGGGTGCAAGAATGAAAAGCAAATGCTAACTGTCCATGACATTGACTTTCAAAGGGGTGCGTCATGTTATGTGGCTCATCCCAGCAACAATGAAGATATTTCTCTATCAGTCGGTCGGTAAATAATTATTGACAACAAGCCAGGAAGGTGGAATGATCGGAGTAGATTTGGTCCCTATTCTCATGGAGCTTACTTTCTAGAGGGGAAGACAGATGATGGATGAATAAATATAAATTATACTATTAGGTTGGAGCAGCAGCAATCCCGGTTTTTGCCATTCAAAGTAATGGAAATCAAAAGCAGGGAGGAGCTGGCTCTGCAGTTCGGTAAAAGTAATGGCAAAAACTGAGATGACTTTTACGCCAACCTAATAGAACAATTACAAGTGTGCAAAACACTGTAATGGGAAAGTTCCAAGTGCCAGGATATCAACCAGCTTCCTGGAGTCAAGAGATGGGGGTTTTCAACCTAACCAAGGTGAAGTCCAACTGGTGGGGACAGGCAGGGAGCAATATTTCAGTGGAGACTCCAAGGATGAATGGTAATTAGAAAAGTGAGCCCAGATGGTTGGGGAAAGTGTTTCAGGCACAGAGAACAGCATGTGCAAAGGCCTATGGTGGGAGGACATCGTGTGTTCATTGACCTGAGGGGCGGCCAGCAGGCTGGAGCAGAGCGGGTTGAGAGGAGGCTGGGGAGCCAGGGAAAGGCACTCCACGCAGAGGGCACAGCAGGGGAAAAGGCCCGGAGTCAGGCCTGAGTCCATGTGGTTTGAGGAAGTGGCAGAGGCATGTCTGGCAGGAAAGTAACTGCAGAGGGGAGACCATAAGGCCAGGGCAGAGGGCAGGGCCGTGCTGGGCACTGTGGGCTATGGATGGGACCTGGCATTTATTCTTGGGTGAGGGGAACATGTTAGAAGATTTTAAGGAGGGCAGGAACATTTGGGGATAATGTGTATTCTAGGAATCTCAACCAGGTAAATTCATAGTTTGAATGTTCATAAGACTTCTGCACAGGCAAAGTGAAAGATGGTTTCTAGAGCTGTGAGATAAGATCATAGTAAAAAAAGAATGACTAAGTTTCTAAAGGTCATTTCAAAGGGTGGATTTCCATCTTACAATTGAATATAAGTAGACTGCAAGGTTGATGGAAAGTAGAAAATTTCCTGACTTGTGTGAACAGAAAAGAAACATCAATTTGAAAGGAAAGCATTTATTTATTTACTTCCTCTGCAGTTTTCCTGACTGCTACATTTCAGGAGAAGGGATGGTTTATGAGGGTCAAGGAGCCGGAGGCATGGGGAGGAGCTGGTGTTTTTGTTCCGGTCTGAGGGTCCTGGAGCTGGAGCCCACGGGAGGAGCCGGTGCTGCCACTGATGCCTTAGGGTCGTGGAGCTGAAGATCCCACAGGAGCTGGTGCTGCTGTTCCAGTTTGAGGATCGTGGAGCTGGAGACCCAGGGAGAAGATGGTGCTGCTGTTCTAATTTAAGGAAAGTGAAGCGGAAGAGCCAGACAGGAGCTGGTGCTGCCACTGCTCAAATCTGATTGTGTTGGAGCTGCAGCCGGGGGTGGAGCCGGTGCTACCTTTGTAGTCTGAGAGTCATTGAGCGGAGGTCCAGGAAGGAGCTGGTACTGCTGTTCTAGGATGAGGGTTGTGGAGCTACAGACCCAAGGAGGAGCAACGTTGTTTTAGTTTGAGAGTTGGGAAGCTGGCGACCCAGGGAGGAGAGGTTATGTTGTAGTTTGAGGGTCACGGAGCTGCAGACCCAGGGAGGAGCAATGTTGTTGACGTTCGAGGGTCTGGAAGCTGGCGACCCAGGGAGGAGAGGTCATGTTCTAGTTTGAGGGTCGTGGAGCTACAGACCCAGGCAGGAGCAATGTTGTTGAAGTTCGAGGGTCTGGAACCTGGCGACCCAGGAAGGAGGAGTCTTGTTCTACTTTCAGGGTCATGGAGCTGCAGACCCAGGGAGGAGCAATGTTGTTGTAGTAGGAGGGTCTGGAAGCTGTCGACCCAGGGAGGAGAAGTCATGTTCTAGTTTCAGGGTCGTGGAGCTGCAGACCCAGGGGGGAGCTACGTTGTTGTAGTTCGAGGGCCTGTAAGCTGGCGACCCAGGGAGGAGAGGTCTTGTAGTTTGAGGATGGTGGAGCTGCAGACCCAGGGAGGGGCAATGTTGTTGTAGTAAGAGATTTGGGAATGTGGCGACCCAGGAAGGAGAGGTCAAGTTCTAGTTTGAGGGTCGTGGAGCTTCAGGCCCAGGCAGTAGCAATATTGTTGAAGTTCAAGGGTCTAGAAGCTGGCGACCCAGGGAGGAGAAGTTTTGTTGTAATTTGGGGGTCGTGGAGCTACAGACCCAGGCAGGAGCAATGTCGTTGAAGTTCAAGGGTTGGGAACCTGGCGACCCAGGGAGGAGAGGTCTCGTTCTAGTTTGACGGTCGTGGAGCTGCAGACCCAGGGAGGGGCAATGTTGTTGTAGTAAGAGGGTCTGGAAGCTGGCGTCCCCGGGAGGAGAGGTCTTGTTCTAGTTTGAGTGTCATGGAGCCGCTGACCCAGGGAGGAGTTACGTTGTTGTAATTCGAGGGTCTGGAAGCTGGCGACCCCGGGAGGAAGGGTCTTGTTCTAGTTTGAGGTTGTTGGAGCTGCAGACCCAGGGAGGATCCGTGTTGTTTTGAGTGTCGTGGTTCCGGAGACCCACAGAGGAGCCGGTGCTTCCTTTCAAGTCTGAGAGTCATTGAGCTGGAGATCCACGGAGGACCCGGTGTTGCTGTTCTAGTGAGGGCAGTGAATATGGAGACACAGGGAGGAGCGGGTGCTGTTGTTCATGCCTGAGGCTTGTGGAGCTGGAGAACCAGAGAGGAGCTGGTGCTGGTGTTTAAATCTGTGGGTTCTGGAGCTGGAGCCCTGGGGGGCAGATGGTGTTGCTGTTGTCTGAGGGTCACGGGGCTTGAGGTACAGGGAGGAGCCGCTGCTGCTGTTCAAGTCTGAGGGTCGTGTAGCTGGAGCGCGGGGAGGAGGTAGTCTCGGTGTCTAGTGTGAGGGTGGTAGAGCTGCAGACCTGGGGAGGAGCCGGTGCTGCTGTGGAGTTTGAGGGTCATGGAACTGGAGACCTAGGGAGGAACCAATGCTACCGCCATTTAAGTCAGAAGGTCGTGGATCTGGAGTTTTGGGGAACAGCCCGTGCTGCTGTTTAACTGTGGGGAGGATCCGGTGTGTCAATTGAAATTTGAGGGTTTGGGAGCTGGAGAACCAGGGAGGAGCCGGTCATGCTATTGTATTTTGAAGGTTATGGATCTGGAGACCTGGGGAGAGGCCGGTACTGTTGTTGTAGTTTGAGGGTCATGGAAGTGGAGACAGGGGGAGGAGCCGGTGCTACTCTTCTAGTTTGAGGGTCGTGGAGCTGAAGATCCTGGGAGGAGCTGGTGCTATCGTTCAAATCTGTAGGTCCTGGAGCTGGAGCCCTGGCGGGGAGCCAGTTCTGCCATTCGTGTCTTAGGTTCTTGGAGCTGAAAACCCAGGGAGGCGGCGATGCTGCTGTTCTAGTTTAAGGATCGTGAAGCTGGAGACCTGGATAGGAGGTGGTGCTACCGCTGTTCAAATCTGAGAGTCGTGGAGCTGGAGCCTTGGGGAGTTGCCGGTGCCACCTCTCAAGTCTGAGAGTTGTTGAGCTGGAGATCCAGGGAGGAGCTGGTGTTGCCGTTGTAGTCTGAGGATAATGGAGCTGGAGACTCAGGGAGGACTGGTGCTGTTCTAGTATGAGGGTGGTGGAGCTGGAGACACCGGGGGGAGCTGGTGCTGCTGTTGTTTAAAGCTGAGGGTTGTGGAGCTGGAGCCCTGTGTGGTTGCTGGTGTTGCTGTTGTTGAAGTCTGAGGGTCATGGGGCTTGAGGTACAGGGAGGAGCCGCTGCTGCTGTTCAAGTCTAAGGGTCGTGTAGCTGGAGCGCGGGGAGGAGGTAGTCTTGGTGTCTAGTGTGAGGGTGGTGGAGCCGTAGACCTGGGGAGGAGCCGGTGCTGCTGTGTAGTTTGATTGTCGTGGAACTGGAGACCTAGGGAGGAGCCGGTGCTACCAGCATTTAAGTCAGAGTGTCGTGGATCTGGAGCTTTGGGGAAGAGCCTGTGCTGCTGTTTAACTGTGGGGAGGATCCGGTGTGTCACTTGAAGTTTTAGGGTTTGGGAGCAGGAGACCCAGGGAGGAGCCGGTCTTGCCATTGTATTTTGAGGGTCGTGGATCTGGAGACCTGGGGAGAGGCTGGTACTGCTGTTGTAGTTTGAGGTTGGTGGAACTGGAGACAGGGAGAGGAGCCGGTGCTGCTGCTGTTCATGTCTGAGGGTTGTAGAGCTGGAGACCCAGGGAGGAACCGGTGTTGCTGGTCTAGTCTGAGGGTCGTGAAGCTGGAGACCCAAGGAGGAGCCGGTGCTATTATTCATGTCTGAGGATTGTGGAGCTGGAGACCCAGGGAGGAGCCGGTGCTATTGTTCATGTCTGAGGATTGTGGAGCTGGAGGGAGACCCAGGGAGGAACCGGTGCTGCTGATCTAGTCTGAGGGCCATGGAGTTGGAGATCCTGGGAAGAGCCGGGGCTGCCGTTTAAATCTGTGGTTCTTGGAGCTGGAGCCCTGGGGGTGACCTGGTTCTGTCATTCATGTTTTAGGGTCGTGGAGCTGGAAACCCAGGGAGGCGGCGGTGCTGCTGTTCCAGTTTAAGGATCGTGAAGCTGGAGACCCAGACAGGAGGTGGTGCTACTGCTGTTCAAATCTGAGGGTTGTGGAGCTGGAGCCTTGGGGAGGTGTCGGTGCTGCCTCTCAAGTCTGAGAGTTGTTGAGCTGGAGATTCAGGGAGGCGCAGGTGTTGCTGTTGTTGTTTGCGGATTGTGGAGCTGGAGGCCGAAGAGGAGCTGGTATTGCAGTTCAAGTTTGATGGTCGTGGAGCTGGAGACCTAGGGAGGAGCTGGTGCTACCACCGTGTAAGTTGGGGGTTGTGGAGCTGGTGGTCCCGGGGAACAGCCAGTGCTATCGTTGAAGTTTGAGGGAGCTGGAGAGCCAGGGAGTAGCCGGTGCTGCTGTTCTAGTTTGAGTGTTGTGGAGCTGGAGTCTTGGTGGGGAACCGGTGCTGCCTCCTAAGTCTGAGAGTCATTGAGCTGGAGATCCACGCGGGAGCTGGTGCTGCTGTTGGAGTTTGAGGATGGTGGAGCTGGAGACCCAGGTGGAGCTGGTGCTGGAGTTGGAGTTTGAGGGTCAGGGAGCTGGAGATCTGGGGAGGAGCCAGTGCTGCTGTTTAAGTCTGAGGGTCGTGGAGCTAAACATGGAGCCAAAGTTGGGGAAGTAGAGAGAGAGAGTTATAGGATGACCCTGAAAACTGTAGATGAAGCTGTACCCCAAGCAAGCTAAGCTTGGGAACTTCTAAATGCTAGTGATGAGTGTTCTTTTTCCTCTTACACAGTTTGGGTTTGTTTTCTGTCTCATGAGGCAGAAAGATCCTGACTGATACCCTTAGGAATTGAAAAGCTTAAAAAAACTAAAGGATATTGGTGATAATTATAACAATAATTAAACTATGACTATCCTGACTGGCAGAGACGAAATTACACACACACAATATATATCTTTCAAACAGTTAGTAAAATAAAAAATACATTGGAAAATAGACCCAAGCAAAGCTATAAAATGTTGTTTCATGGAGAAGCGATGGAGGACAGAGATTCATCTGAGAGGTGCTATTAATGGAGAAACTGAGAACTTACCATTTTTCCCATGAGGTTTTGGTGCAGAATGATATTGTGTGAGTTCTGGCAGCTGAGTCACTTCCCACAGCCCGGTGATGCCGTCGGTGTCACAGAAGGACCCTCTCCCAGCTGGTCCTGCCTCTCTGCTACGATGAGTGCGGCCTCTGATCCCCAACAGCTGACTGAGTCTTGAGACCAGGCCCATGAGCACAAGGGTTTCCATGGTGAAGGTTCCTGGATGGAACACCGTGGATGTTCCTAATGTTCCTTCCTGATGTTCATCTGCCATCTTGCTATTTAATGCAATGTCTTCTAAATATTGAATAGAAAAAGGTATTTGTACAATACGGGTAAGGTATAAAGAATATCCACACACTGGACACACGGACAGGGAGGAGCACCCACAGCAAACTCCCTTTGCCTGGGAGCAGGTGTGGTCCTTGAGTCCTGTGTCACCTGTTTCTTCCTCCGCCTTGGTCTACAGTTCCGATATGATCTACCTCTGCCTGCCTCTCCAACTCCATCTCCCCTCCCGCTCCTGTTCTTTCTAACAATTATGTTACAGCCTCAGTGAATGTGACAAGGACCCTGAATCACGGTGGCTTTACTAAGACAGAGGTTCATTCCTTTCACATGAAAGTCCAAGCCAGTCGGGTGATTCTTCTCTGTGCATGTTTCAGGGTCTTAGGCTACTTCCATCTTGCTGCTCTGGCTTCCTTAGGGTGTAGCTTCCCCACAGTGTCCATCCTATCTACCACCAGCCAGCAGGGAGGGGAGAAGAGAACAAGAGGATACAAACCTCCCTTCCTGTAAAGGCAGTTGCTGTGCACTGGCCTCATGTGCATTGACCACTGTCTGGTCACGTGGCCACTGCTTGCTGCAAGGGATGCTGGGAAGTTTTCATCCTGGATGCCAGTGCCCACCTGGGTGACTCCTGAGATCGAGGGGAGACAGGAAATGAAAGAGAGTCACTGACTTTTCGCACTGTCATGCACGTTGCTCCAGTCTAGGGTGACCCACTGCCTCAGCTTGCTCAGGACTGAGGGGGGCCATGGGACACAGACCTTTCAGTTTTATAACAAGGGCAGTTCCAGGCAAAGCATCCCAGCTTGGCTGAGACTCAGAGTTTCCTGGGACTTGGGATTTCTAGTGTTAAAACTAGGAAAGTTCTGGGTAATCCTGGACAAGTTGGTCCCCTCTACTCCAGACACTGGCTTCCTTTCCGCTCCTCCAGCAGGCCAAGCCAGTGCCTGCCGTGGGGCCTTTGCATCTACTGTTACCCCTGTCTGGGATTCCGTTTCCGCAACTTTGTGCAGTGCTCACTCCTCTTCTGTTGAGGAAACGCTGCTCTCTGGGTGCCCCTGGGAGCCTGGTCTGCTGTACTCAGCACCACATGCGCCGTGAAAATCCCTCCGTGCTCTTCATAGAATGAGATCGGTTCTTTCCACCCTTCCCTGCCCACTTCAGTTTCAAAGTGTCTGAGGATTATTAATTTGTATTCTCTTCACCGCTGAAAGGTACATCCCTTTCCCTAAAGCTGTGGCTGGGTTCATGCATAGCCAGGTAAATTTGATATCAATAATAACCTGAACGAAAATCATGTATTAAATCCCAAGGTTATGATGTAGGAAGCAGGGATTCTGAAGAGATGTGTAAACCTAATAAAGGCCAAAGGGTGTGAATTAAAAGGAAACGTGGGGTGGAGAAACATTTCATGCAATAGAACCCCACCTCTTGGTGAGTTCATTGGTACAACCTTTCTAGAGGGCAATTTGGCAACTGACCAATGAAAGTGCATAACTTTTGGTCCCAGATTTCATTCATAGGCATTTATCCCTAGGAAATAGTCAGAAAAATATGCAAAGATGAAACTCTAAGGATTTTTCTAAGAAGAAAGAAGTTGGAAGCATGAATGCCCACTGGTGGTCTCGCACCCTGGCACCAGTGCTCCCCTCTCACACAGGCTACATTTTCCCAGGCTTCCTTGCAGTGAGTTGTGGCCATGTGACCAGGTTCTGGCCAATGGGAGGTAATAAAATTGTTGGGTAGCATTTTTGGAAACTCTCTTCTATAACCTCTGTCTTGATATGGTTTGGATGTTGGTCCCCTCCAAATCTCATGTTGAAATGTGATCCCTGATGTTGGAGGTGGGGCATGGTGGGAGGCGTTTTGGTGATGTGGGCAGATCCCTCTCACAATGACTTGGTGCCGTCCCAATGGCAATGACTGAGTTCTTGCTCTGAGTTTATGGGAGATCTGGTTGTTTAAAGGGCCTGGCACGTCCTCCTCCCTCTCTTGCTTTCTCTCGCCATGTGACATACCTGCTTCCTTTTCACCTTCTGCCATGATTGGAAGCTTCCTGAGGCCTCCCCAGGAGCAGATGCTGGTGTCTTGCTTGTACAGCCTGCAGAACTCTGAGCCAATTAAACCTCTTTTCTATAAAGAACCCCGCTTCAGGTATTCCTTTAGGCAACACAGATGGGCTGACATATATCTTTACTGTCATTTCTTAGTTGTTCCATCCTTTGACCTGTTTCCTGGGATAAGCATATGATGATTGGAGCTATTCTTGTCACCTTGAACCTTGAGGATTAGGCTTCTACCCTGTGGACAGCAGAATGTCCTCTGGAAGGAAATGAAAGTCCCTAACGCCACCCTAGACTGACAACCTCGTTTTCTTTTTACTTTTTTGTTTTTTGAGATAGAATCTTGCTGTGTTGCCCAGGCTGGAGTATAGTGGCGTGATCTCAGCTCATTGCAACCTCTGCTTCCTGGGTTCAAGTGATTCTCATGCCTCAGGCTCCCGAGTAGCTGGGATTACAGGTGCATGCCACCATGTTCACCTAATTTTTAAATTTTTAGTAGAGACAGGGCTTCACCATGTTGACCAAGCTAGTTTCAAAATCATGACTTCAAGTAATCCACTCGCCTCAGCCTCCCAAAGTGCTGGGATTACAGACATAAGCCACTGTGCCCTGCCCAGTCTTGGTTTTTGTGAGATAAACTTCTACCTTGAAGTAACATCACTGATAGGTGATATAACCGTAACTGGATAAAAAGTAGGAAATTGATTTAATATTTACATCTACATATGGCCATACCAAGAATGATAGTGAACTGTTGTTATCAATGTATAAATATGGACACAAAATATTGTTTAGTGTAAACAAAACTGTTTTGTTTTCTTTTTTGATTCAGAGTCTCACTCTGTTGCCCAGGCTTGAATGCAATGGTGCGATGTCGGCTCATTGCAACCTCCACCTCCCAGGTTCAAGCGATTCTCCTGTCTCAGTCTCTGGAGTAGCTGGGATTACAGGCGCACGCCATTGCATCCAGCTAATTTTTTGCCTTTTTAGTAGAGACAAGGTTTCACCATGTTGGTCAGGTTGGTCTCTAACTCGTGACCTCAGATGATACACCCACCGCGGCCTCTCAAAGTGCTGGGATTACAGGCTTGAGCCACCGTGCCCAGCCAGCATTGGTATTTTTTGACCTCTGATGGTTGGAGGTGCTGTTCCCAGCTGCCCAAAGCATGCTAATCAACCCCCAGGGGGAGCCACAGATGACAGGAATGTCTTTGAACCTGGACAACTCACAGGATAGTGGGGCCTGCATGGAAATAGGAAAGTCTGGGGAGAAGCTGTATCCGGGACGGGAAAGAAAAAGTAATTTTGTTTGAATCTTCTAGGTTTAAATGGACAGCAAATAAAGTCTGGAGCTTGCGAGAGAGGCTAGAACTTAAGTAGATAGCAGGTGGGAGGGATCCAGAGGTAATGGTTCAGAGATCTGTCTCAGATCTGTTTTGGGGAATCCTGGGTAAATATAGACTTTAATCCTTTTCCACATAGTCAGATATTACTTTTAGGATGTTGTGAACTCATTGCCTGGCTTGGTTTTTGCACTTGCATAGCCTGGTTAGAAAATAAATTCACGGCTGGGCGCGACGGCTCATGCCTGTAATCTGGCACTTTGGGAGGCCAAGGCGGACAGATTACGAGGTCAGGAGATCGAGACCATCCTGGCTGACACGGCGAAACCCCATCTCTACTAAAAATACAAAAAATTACCCGGGCGTGGTGGCGGGCACCTGTGGTCCCAGCTACTCGGGAGGTTGAGGCAGGAGAATGGCGTGAACCTGGGAGGTGGAGGTTGCAGTGAGCTGAGATCACACCACTGAACTCCAGCCTGGGTAACAGAGCGAGATTCCGTCTCAAAAAAATAAACAAATATAAATATATAAATAAATAAATAAATAAATAAATTCACAGGCTGAGCACAGTGGCTCATGCCTGTAAAAGCAGAGTCAGGGAGGGGTGCAGGAGAGTTTTGGGGGTACACAGACTGCTGACTCCTCCACCTCTTAAAATATCCACATTTAACAACTTAAAACAGGAGGGGATCTTAGATGAGAAGTGTATTACTCTGTTTTCACACTGCTGTAAAGATACTACCTGAGACTGGGTAATTTATAAACAAAAGAGGTTTAATTGACTCACAATTCCACATGGCTGGAAAGGCCTCAGGAAACTTACAATCATGGCAGAAGACGATGGAAAAGCAAGTCACACGTTACATGGTGGCAGGAGAGAGAGAGCAAGAGAGGAGGTGCCACACTTTTAAACCATCAGATCTCGTAAGCATTCACTCACTATCACGAGAACAGCATGGGGGAAATGGTCCCCATGATCCAATCACCTCCCACCAGGGCCCTCCCTTGACATGTGGGGATTACAACTCAAGATGAGATTTGGATGGGGACACAGAGCCAAACCATATCAAGAGGAAACTGGGTCATGGAGACAGATGCCCACTTTTCCAGAGTCAAGGATGAAGTTGGCATGGGAGCCAGTTCTCTGAACTCTTGCCCATTGCTCTCTTCCTCTCCCCCGTCACCTTTCCTTCAGAATGGGATGTGAAATCAGCAGAACATTATAAGCAGAGGAATCATGAGTCTGCTCTGTGTATAAATGTATCACACAGAATGCTCTGACAAGGTGAAGAGGTCAGGATGGGCGTGGCAGGTGGAGGACAGGAGGTGAGAGTCCAGTGAGGGGGTTGCTGCAAAAACTGGATGAGAGCTCATAATAGCTTGGACCAGAGTGGGAGCAGTGGAGGTGGTGAGAAGTGACTGGACTCACGATATATTCTGAAGATAGAGCCTACACAATTTCCAGATGGACTGGATGTGGC